TGGCGGTGATGATGATGATGGTGGTGGTAATAATGATGATGGTGACGATGGTGACGATGGTGGCGTGACCATGAGCTCCCGAAGAATTTGCCGTGAGCCATCGTCAATCTCGCGCCATCCTGAAGTCTCCACGCCATTGAATATTTTCGGAGCCACCTGGCAAGCCGCTGCATCGCGTCACGATCCCCTTCCCCGCCCTCGAACGCATTTTCGATTTATCAGCACAGCGCATTGGTAGTCTCGGCGAGGCCTCGCTTCTCTTCTTCACCCTCTCACTCACCGGGTAACTAATGCCGTGGGTAACTTCTACTGACACCTCGACTGGTAACGCGCGCACGCACCCCCCCCCCCCCCCCCCCCCCCCCCCGGGAGGTCGCCCGGCCGTCTAAAAACGGCCCACGCATTGGCATGGCGCTCACGTTCGCCGCAGGCTGCAGGGGCAGAAGAGGGGCGGGGAGGGGGGCGAACCCACGCGCTGTAAGGAACCCACGTGCTGTAAGGAACCCACGTGCTGTAAGGAACCCACGCTCAGTGAGGAACCCATGCGCTGTAAGGAACCCACGCGTTGTAAGGAACCCGCGTTCTGTGAGGAACCCACGTGCTGTAAGGAACCCACGCGCTGTAAGGAACCCACGCGTTGTAAGGAACCCACGCGCTGTAAGGAACCCACGTGCTGTAAGGAACCCACGCGCTGTAAGGAACCCACGTGCTGTAAGGAACCCACGCGCTGTAAGGAACCCACGTGCTGTAAGGAACCCACGCGCTGTAAGGAACCCAGGCTCTCTAAGGAACCCACGTGCTGTAAGGAACCCACGTTCTCTAAGGAACCCACGTGATGTAAAGAACCCACGTTCTGTAAGGAACCCACGTGCTGTGAGGAACCCACGTGCTGTAAGGAACCCACGTGCTGTAAGGAACCAACGTGCTGTGAGGAACCCACGTTCTGTAAGGAACCCACGTGCTGTGAGGAACCCACGTGATGTAAGGAACCCACGCGCTGTAAGGAACCCACGTGATGTAAGGAACCTACGCGCTGTAAGAAACCCACGTGATGTAAGGAACCCACGCGCTGTAAGGAACCCACGTGATGTAAGGAACCTACGCGCTGTAAGAAACCCACGTGATGTAAGGAACCCACGCTCAGTGAGGAACCCACGCTCTGTGAGGAACCCACGTTCTGTAAGGAACCCACGTGCTGTGAGGAACCCACGTGATGTAAGGAACCCACGCGCTGTAAGGAACCCACGTGATGTAAGGAACCGACGCGCTGTAAGAAACCCACGTGATGTAAGGAACCCACGCTCAGTGAGGAACCCACGCTCTGTGAGGAACCCACGTTCTGTAAGGAACCCACGTGCTGTGAGGAACCCACGTTCTGTAACGATGATGAGCCACTTCATTGAGCGATCATTTGCGATGGCCAGGCCGCTTCTGAAAACAAGAGCTACGTAGCTCAGTGTTGGCCTTACCTGGTAAAATAAAATAAAAAGTGCTTAAAATAAGCAAAACATTGTTTTTCTTTTTAAAGCGAGGAGGACGCTCGACGCAAATGGAAACATCAAAGCCGCCCGGCTCGCTCCACCGTCGTCAGCGCTCGCGAGCCCCTCCCCCCACCTGCCCCCCAGCTTAGGATTAAGTGGGGGGGGGGGGGTGGGGGGGGTTGTGTGGCACCAGCGCCTGGGCACCTGGCATCTTGGTTCATCTTCTGCCAGGGACAGGCGGCATCTCGACAACGTCGTCGGTCGCTGGGGGGCGGCTCCCAGCCCCCCCACCCCCCCCCCCCCCCCCCCCCCCCTCGGCGTTCAGAAGCGGCAGAAACTCCCGGCCGGTGGGGACGAGACGGACGCGGAGGTTCCCCGTTTGAGCATCGCGCCGGCGAGAGAGTCCCCCCCGGGCACGACCGGGAGATTCGCAGAACAAAATCCGTTGCGTGTCTTTGATCCGTGGCCCTGCCGCTGAGCGCAGCTCTCCAGGTGATGATGAGCACGGCGGGGCGAAGGGGGCGCGGCACCGCGCGCGGAAATTCTTCTCCGAGTAGACCCGGAGCTTCCTCGGCAAACTGAATTGTTTCCTCGAAAGAATGTTGAGCTCCCCCAGCGGGCGCAGCTGAGAAAGCTCCCCGGCACGCCGAGCGAAACGTCGGACGATTTCTCTGGGCAACAGCAACAGCAGCAGCAGCGGCAACAACAAGAACAACAACAACAACCTGGCGCCCCGCACGGCGCTGCGCTGAAACCTTCGACGCTCGGCGGATTGACGGTCGAGACGCTCGCCGGAGTGCGAGTCGGTGGATTGAATTCCATCTGTGCGGACCTTTCGAGTGTTCCTCATCGTCGTTTTCCAGGGACTGTGGGAAGAAAGTGAGGTAGCGAGACGCAAACTCTAAATATACAGCAGCAGCAGGCGTCAGGGTCGGGATGGAACCCACGATCCTCCTGTACACCAGGCGAGGTAGTTAACATCTCACCACGGAGAGAGACGCAAACTCCAAACATACAGCAGCAGGCGTCAGGGCCGGGATCGAACCCACGACGTCCTGCATACCAGGCGAGGTAGTTAACATCTCACCACGGAGAGAGACGCAAACTCTAAACATACAGCAGCAGGCGTCAGGGCCGGGATCGAACCCACGACGTCCTGCATACCAGGCGAGGTAGTTAACATCTCACCACAAGGAGAGACGCAAACTCCAAATATACAGCAGCAGGCGTCAGGGTCGGGATCGAACCCACGATCCTCCTGCATACCAGGCGAGGTAGTTAACATCTCACCCTGGAGAGAGATGCAAACTCCAAACATACAGCAGCAGGCGTCAGGGTCGGGATCGAACCCACGACCTCCTGCATACCAGGCGAGGTAGTTAACATCTCACCCTGGAGAGAGACGCAAACTCCAAACATACAGCAGCAGGCGTCAGGGTCGGGATCGAACCCACGACCTCCTGCATACCAGGCGAGGTAGTTAACATCTCACCCTGGAGAGAGACGCAAACTCCAAACATACAGCAGCAGGCGTCAGGGTCGGGATCGAACCCACGATCCTCCTGTACACCAGGCGAGGGTAGTTAACATATCACCACGGAGAGAGACGCAAACTCCAAACATACAGCAGCAGGCGTCAGGGTCGGGATCGAACCCACGACCTCCTGCATTCCAGGCGAGGTAGTTAACATCTCCTAGCCACCTGTGACGCGCTCATGGCGCTCGCCTGGTCTTCCTTCCCAGGTCTTCCTCGTCCCTGACGCCCGGCGAGTTCCGCGACACGCCGGGCGTTTCGCGGAACTCGCGGTAGCGTTCTCGCGTGGTAAAAAAAAAACTATATTCAATCTTGTTATATTTAAAAGGGAACAAAAGTGTGGGAGATAATTAAACTATTACAAGCTTGACATTCAAATCTAAAACGTGTGAATATATACACGCGGCCTCTCCACTCCGCGTGCAATGTGAAACTGTCTTCAAAGGTCCTTAATGTCATTGTCAAATTACCAGGGCGATTACCCCAAGAACACGCGGCCCCCGCCTCGAGATGTTAACTACCTCGCCTGGTGTACAGGAGGTCGTGGGTTCGATCCCGACCCTGACGCCTGCTGCTGCTGCTGTATATTTGAAGTTTGCGTGTCTCTCTCCGCGTGGTCGCGTCGATTTTTCTCCGGTTTTTCCCCTCCACATTCAGAATCAACGTCACGCGTTCAGAGTTAGCTGGCTGCTGCTGCTGCTACTGCTGCTATAAATCCCCACAAGGCGATGGTGACGATAAGCCCACTTCGTTTAGCTATCATCTGTGATGGCCAGTTCGCTTCTGAAAAATAACTATAGGGCTTCATTGCGGCCTTACCTGGTAAAATAAAATAAAAAGTTATTTAGTTCGTAGTTTTAGACTCCCATTCTGCGCCTGTGGTTCCCCCCCCCCCCCCTCCAGCTTTACGGGCATTTTTCAAATTAATATGTTGCATCCCTGTTTGTGAGCAACAACAGCGATCAGACCCCAAAGGCGCGGAAACGCCGAGCGGCCGGCAACAAACAGCGCGACGGAAAATGTCTCCCGTAGCCAAACGCTGCGGTGACCTTCAGTGGAGGTTGGCACGCTGCCATCGGCCGTGTGGCTCAGCCGAATCTCGCCGGGGGTACCAGACTCGGTGCATTTCCTGCGGTGCCAGGGAGGATCTTGCCCCACCGGTACCTACGCTGCCAGCGGCTCAACCCAATGTTCCGCCTTTTGGGGAACGTCTTCAGGAAACTGGGGGTGCCCTTCTACAACAGCAGCTTCGTATTTGGGGGGCGGTGGGTTGTGCCTTACCTGGCTAACAAGCGCCATGACCTCGCCAACTTCGTCTGTGCTCAGGCGAAGTTGGCGGTTTACAGAAGGAGGAATAAGATGCTGCAAGGTGACACTGACGGCTGCTCTGTGCTGCTTCCAGTGTTCAGGGGCCTGCTCGAGGCGCGGCTCCGGCTGAAGCACGCCACGTACCACACACACGTGTCGGAGCTGGACAAGCCCCTCTCTGTACCAGCGTCGATGGCACCCTCATGTTCACCTTCTGAAGCGCTCGCTCGTCGGCGCACGTGATGACCACCACGTGACTTTTCTTTTGTGTTGTGTTTTTATCGTGTGATTGTGTTGCTGGCGACTTTGTGTATTTCGTATCGAAATCGTCTCCAGTGCTGTTGCTGCTGGTGACAATAAAAGTTGTTAAAAGTCTCCCTCTTCTCTCTCTCTCGCCTCTCTCTCCTCTCTCTCTCTTCTCTCTCTCTTTTTTTACGTTCAGAGGAAACAAGAAGATGCTCGGTGTAGTCGGCACTTTGCTTCGTTCATCATTTCGTTTTTTTCAAAAAATATTTCACGCTCTGCTCTCCTCCTTCTTACCCCTTCCCTCTCTCTGTACCCCCTCTCTCTCTCTCTACCCCCTCTCTCTACCCTCTCTCTCCCTACCCCATGTCTGTGTTCCCCCGGTTTCTCTTTCTCTACCTCTCTCCGCTCTCTCTCCGTCCTCCGATCCGCAGAGAAACCGCGCGTCAATAACATCCACATGACGATGGCGCTGATGACTCCGCTGGCTCCGTCTGAGTCTCACCAGCACCTCGCGCCGTCTTTCACGGCCGCCAAGTCAGAGCTGGCGCGCTTCAACTCGCTCAAGAGGCTCGGCACGTGACCCACCACAACCACCGCCACCACCACCAGCGCCACAACCACCAGCATCACCACCACCAGCATCACCACCACAACCACCAGCGCCGCCACCACCGCCACCACCACAACCACCAGCGTCACCATCACCACCAGCGCCACAACCACCAGCGTCACGACCACGACCACCACCGTCACCACCACCACCACCACCGCCACAACCACCGGCGTCACCACCACCACCGCCACAACCACCAGCACCGCCACCACCACCACCACCACAACCACCAACGTCACCGTCACCACCGCCACAACCACCAGCACCGCCACCACCACAACCACCAGCGTCACCGTCACCACCGCCACAACCACCACTTCGTACCGCCACCACCACCGTCACAATCACCACCGTCACCACCACCACATCCACAACCACCAGCGCCGCCACCACCACCACAACCACCACCGTCACAATCACCACCGTCACTACCCCCGGAACCGCCGCTACCGGGGTGCAGTGGTGGTGGTGGCGGGGTCCGGGAGGGGGGGGTGGAGATGACAAACGTGAGCCCCCCCAAACCCCCCAACCCCCCCCCCCCCGCGTGTCCCTCGTCGTGGCCTCGGCTCCGGCTCAAATCCGCCGTGATGACCACGTGCCGGCTCTGAGCCAGGTTGTACGTACACACACACAGACACACACACACATACACACACGTGTGTATATGTGTGTGTATGTGTGTGTATGTGTATATGTGTGTGTGTGTGTGTCTGTGTGGGTGTGTATGTATGTCTGTGTGTCTGTGTGTGTGTGTGTGTCTGTGTGTGTGTCTGTGTGTACGTGTGTCTGTGTGTACGTGTGTCTGTGTGTGTGTGTCAGTCGACCCGTGGCACCTGGGTCTGCCCCGTGACCTCCTGCCAGCGGGCGTTCGACACTTCACGTGGCCTCACGGTGCACATAGCCTGGCACAAGCGTCGTGGTGACGTCACCGCCACTTAGTGGCGAATGGCGGTTGTTGTTGTTGTGTGTGTCTGTGTGTGTGTATGTATGTCTGTGTGTGTGTGTCTGTGTGTGTGTCTGTGTGTACGTGTGTCTGTGTGTGTGTCTGTGTGTGTGTGTGTCTGTGTGTATGTGTGTCTGTGTGTGTGTGTCTGTGTGTGTGTCTGTGTGTGTCTGTGTGTGTGTCTGTGTGTGTGTATGTCTGTGTCTTGTCTGTGTGTGTGTCTGTGTGTGTGTATGTGTGTGTATGTGTGTGTGTGTCTGTGTGTGTGTCTGTGTGTGTCTGTGTGTGTGTGTGTCTGTGTGTGTGTGTGTCTGTGTGTACGTGTGTCTGTGTGTATGTGTGTGTGTGTCTGTGTATGTGTGTCTGTGTGTGTGTGTACGTGTGTGTGTGTGTGTATGTGTGTGTATGTGTGTGTGTGTCTGTGTGTGTGTCTGTGTGTGTCTGTGTGTGTGTGTATGTGTGTGTGTCTGTGTGTGTGTGTCTGTGTGCGTGTATGTGTGTGTGTCTGTGTGTGTGTGTCTGTGTGTGTGTCTGTGTGTGTGTGTCTGTGTCTGTGTGTGTGTATGTGTGTGTGTGTATATATGTGTGTGTGTCTGTGTGGGTGTGTATGTATGTCTGTGTGTCTGTGTGTGTGTATGTGTGTGTGTGTATATATGTGTGTGTGTCTGTGTGGGTGTGTATGTATGTGTGTGTCTGTGTGTACGTGTGTCTGTGTGTGTGTGTCTGTGTGTGTGTCTGTGTGTACGTGTGTCTGTGTGTGTGTGTCTGTGTGTGTCTCTGTGTGTGTCTGTGTGTGTGTCTGTGTGTGTGTCTGTGTGTGTGTGTCTGTGTGTGTATGGAGAGTTTCCCATACCTGGGCAGTGTGCTTATGACTGGCTCCAGTTTAACAGCAGAGGTCTCACTCCGAATCAGTCGAGCGGCAATATCTTTTCATCGGTTGCGTAACGCTGTGTGGAAGCTACCTGGTCTGTCGCTCCGCACTAAGCTTCAGGTCTTCTCGGCCACGGTCATTCCCTCCCTTCTCTACGCTTGCGAAACGTGGACCCCCCTAATGGAACATCTTCGCCGGTTAGAAACATTTAGGCTGACCTGCCTACGATCCATCCTGGGTTTAACCAGACTGGATTGTGTGAGGAGCTCACAAATCCTTGAAAGATCTGGGCAGGGTCCCATCGGTGAGCTCCTCCGGCAGGCAAGGCTGCGATGGCTGGGTCATGTAGCCCGCATGCCCAGCCACCGCATGCCGAAACAGCTTTTGTTTGGCCGGATTGAGGGGGCTAAGCGGGCGCGGCACGGGCTAGAGAAGAGATGGAGTGATGTGGTACAGGAGGACGTGGAGCTGAGTGGACTTGCCGATGACTGGTACCAGCGGTGTCAAGATCGGCCTCTGTGGAGGAGGCTCGTGAAGGATGCTACTGGGCAGTTGGAGGCAGTCCGCCCTCCAACAACAACGGAGGGCGGAGGAGCGACGCTCACAACAGCGAGCGGAGCGCCGGGTGGCTAAAGCACAGCAGGTTGGCACAGTAGGGGGCACAGGTGGTGCATCAGCCAGTCATCTCAGTCAGTCGACCCGTGGCACCTGGGTCTGCCCCGTGACCTCCTGCCAGCGGGCGTTCGACACTTCACGTGGCCTCAGGGTGCACATAGCCTGGCACAAGCGTCGTGGTGACGTCACCGCCACTTAGTGGCGAATGGCGGTTGTTGTTGTTGTTGTTGTGTGTGTATGTGTGTGTGTGTATATATGTGTGTGTGTCTGTGTGTGTGTATGTGTGTGTGTCTGTGTGTACGTGTATCTGTGTGTGTGTGTCTGTGTGTGTGTCTGTGTGTGTGTCTGTGTGTGTGTGTGTGTGTCTGTGTGTGTGTGTCTTTGTATGTGTGTGTGTCTGTGTCTTGTCTGTGTCTGTGTGTGTGTCTGTGTGTGTGTCTGTGTGTGTGCATGTGTGTGTCTGTGTGTATGTGTGTGTGTGTCTGTGTGTCTGTGTGTGTATTTGTGTTTGTGTCTTTATGTGGTGCCGGACGGGCAACTTTGTCGTGGACAGTGCTGTGGGGGGAGGGCCAATTCCGATTTGCCCCTCCCCTCATGGCGTCTGTGACCACCACAGTGGCTAAACTGGGGCTCTGGATGGGTGCGAGGGGCTGGTAACCCCTCCACCTTCAAAAATTTACCACGAAACCACGAATTAAAAAGGTAACTAATAAGCTTGTGCCGGAGGCCCCGGGGGCACAGGCGTCTATGACGTCTCCTGGCCAAACCCCAATTGGCGGAGCCAGGAGATTGAATCTCTACCCTCGGGGCTCCTCCAAAAACAACGAAAAGCCACTTCGTGTGGCCACGTGGAATGTTCGAACGCTCACTGTGGAGGAGAGGCAGCCACTCCTCTGTCGGGAGCTGGACCGGTACCGCCTGGATCTCTGTGGCATTCAGGAGGTCCGGTGGACCGGTTCTGGCTCCTGCCACCATGAGGGGTGGACAGTCCTCTACTCGGGGCAGCAGACTGCCAAACAACAGGGTGTGGCTCTTCTTTTGAACAAAATAATGAAGGGGGCGTGGGAGCATGGCGGTGAGGTGTGGGAAGCTGTAAGACCCAGGCTACTTTGGGCTCGCCTTCCCATCAACCGGAGGCGAGGAGTGGTGGTTATGGTTACTTGTGCCCCCACTGAAGACGAACATCGGTGGAGGGATGCAGGCAAGCCGATGAGTCAGATGTCTTCCATGACCTGTCACAGGTGCTGGTTAAAGTGGCCCCTCGGGATAGAGTCAACTTGTTGGGTGACTTCAATGCCCGAGTTGGTCATGATGCTGGTCTGGAGTGATTGGAGGGCATGGGCCAGGTCAGCTCAATAACAACGGTAGGAGGCTGCTTGATTTTTGTGCAGCCCATGGGCTTGTAATTACCAACACACTGTTCTGGCAAACGGTGAACCAATCTCCGACCCCCAGGAACAGGTTTGGAGATTTGCTGAGCATTTCTGTAAGGTCCTGTGGGAGGGGAAATCCCTCAGCCAGGAAAACATCGTGGCACAAAGTGGGGATGACCCTGCTGAGGCTGTGGTGCCTCAAATATTGGAAGAAGTCACCCCCTGTGAGTGGCTGGATGAGGTGCCATCTGTTGAGGAAGTACTGAAGGCAATCTGGAGTCTGAGACCAGGAAAGGCACCGGGCAGAGATGATCTCCCAAGCAAAATGCTGAGGGAGGGTGGCGTTTGTGCACAGACTGCCCTATATGACATCATAACAAAAGTCTAGACCACTGGACGGGTTCCGCAGGATTGGAAGGATGCCCTGGTGGTCCCCCTCTTTAAGAAGGGGGACCGCACAGACTGTAACAACTACATGGGCATCTCACTCCTCAGTGTGACGGGAAAGGTCCTGGCAAGGATTATTCAACATCGCCTTGCCAGGCACGCAGAGTAGAGGCTTGCGGAGCCCCAATGCGGTTTCAGGAAAGGGCGGTCCTGCACAGATGCCATATTTTCTGTCTGTCTGCTACAGCACATGTGTAGGGAATTCCAGCAAGACCTACATCTCTGCTTTATTGACCTGGTCAAGGCCTATGATATCATCAGTAGGCCTGGGCTCTGGGTTGTTCTTCGTGCTTTTGGAGTCCCTGACCCTCTGCTCATGATCATTAAGGACCTTCATGATGGTGAGCGGGTCCGGGTAAAACTACGTGGCCGGGAGTCAGAGCCATTCCCTGTACACCTTGGGGTGCGACAGGGATGTCCTCTGGCTCCCACATTATTTAACATCTATTTCAACAATGTAGTTCGAGAAGCATTCCATAGCTGTATCGGAGGAATCTCTATCTGGTACAGATACAATGGGAGGCTGATCGATGCCCGGGTGCGGTCGAGGGATGGCTCCCAATTGGTCAACCACGTTATGTATGCCTATGATCTAGTGATTGCTGCTCACTCAGGGGAGGAGCTGGAGGCGCTGCTGTTGAACCTGGAGTGTGCCACTAAGAGGTGGGGTCTTACCATCAGCCACGCCAAAACGAAGCACCTGCCTTGGTATTTTGTGCTATCAAACACTCCACCCCTCAGCTCCCCATTGGTAATGGAACAGTTGTGGAGAGAGTGGAGAGTTTCCCATACCTGGCAGTGTGCTTATGATCACCTCTGGTTTGACAGCAGAGATCTCACTCCGAATAAATCGGGCGGAATTATCTTTTCATTGGCTGCATAATGCTGTGTGGAAGCTACCTGGTCTGTCGCTCCGCACAAAGCTTCGGGTCTTCTCAGCCACAGTCATTCCCTCCCTTCTCTATGCGTGTGAAACGTGGACCCCTCTAATGGAACATCTGCAAAGGTTCGAAACATTCAGGATGGCTTGCCCACGTCTCATCCTGGGTTTAACCAAGCTTGGTTGTGTAAGGAGCTCACAAATCCTTGAAAGATCTGGGCAAGGTCCCATCGGTGAGCTCCTCCGGCGGGCAAGGATGCGATGGCTGGGTCATGTAGCCCGCATGCCCAGCCACCGCATGCCGAAACAGCTTTTGTTCGGCCGGATTGAGGGGGCTAAACGGGCGCGGCACGGGCTAGAGAAGAGATGGAGTGATGTGGTACAGGAGGATGTGGAGCTGAGTGGACTTGCCGACAACCGGTACCAGCGGTGTCAAGATCGGCCTCTGTGGAGGAGGCTCGTGAAGGAGGCAGTCGCCCTCCAGCAACGACGGAGGGCGGAAGAGCGATGCTCACAACAACGAGCAGAGCGTCGGGTGGCTAAGATGGATCAAGCCGGCACAAGAGGGGTACAGCTGGTGGTGTGTCTACCGGTTATTTCAGCCAACCCATGTCACCTGCTCGGTTTGTCCCGTGACCTCCTCCTGTCAGCGAGCATTCGACACTTCACGTGGCCTCAAAGTGCACCTAGCCTGGCACAGGGGCCGTGGCGACGTCACCATCACTTAGTGACGAATGGCGGCTGTTGGTTATTGGTGGTGTAGCTGTTAGCGCTACGATGCGCCACGAACCCGGAGACCCGGGTTCGATTCCCGTTGACGGCCAACACCGGTGACGATTATCTGAACCGGTCCTGGGTCTCCTTCGAGGTCGACTCAACCTGGTGCGGTGTGTAAACATCGTCACTAGGCGAGACAAATGCTGCCGGGCGTGGTGCTGGCCACCCACATAGGTGCTACTCGCTAACAGCACTTGCCCCGACAATCTGTTAAGTCTACGCAGAGGGATCTTTGTTTTGTCTTTTGTACGCATGTAGACACTTCTTTTGGCACCACCGTACGTTGTCGATCGATGCCGTATCAGAGGTGGGGCCGGGCTGGCGGGGAGGACAACAAAACTACAAACTGAAGACTCGACGAGCAGTCCCGAATTAGCGAGGTTCCTTGGCCCGGCCCGGGGACTCCCGCGGAGTCGAGCGGCGGATCGCGGTCGCAAACGGCACTCGCGTTTCAAAGTCGAACTCCCCACCCCCTCCTCCCCTCCTCTCCTCCTCTCCACCCCCTCCTCCTCCCGTCCCCCTTCTCCCCTCCCCTCCTCCCCACCCCCTCGTTCCCATTCCCTCCTCCTCACCCACTCCTCCTCTCCCCCTTCTCGCCACCCCCTCTTCCTCCTCCCCACCCCCTCCTCCCCTCCCCCTCCTCCCCTCCTCCCAACCCCCTCCTCCTCCTCCCCACCCGCTCCTCCCCTTCCTCCCTCCTCCCCCTCCTCCTCTCCCCCTCCTCCCCTCCCCCTTCTCCCCACCCCCTCTTCCTCCTCCCCACCCCTCCTCCCCACCCCCTCCTCCCTTCCCCTTCCTCCCCTCCCCCTCCTCCCCACCCCCTCCTCCCGTCCCCCTCCTTCCCACCCCCTCCTCCTTCCCATTCCCTCCTCCCCACCCCCTCCTCCCAACCCCCTCCTCCACTCCTCCTCCTCCCCACCCCCTGCTCCCTTCCCCCTTCTCCCCACCCCCTCCTCCTTTCCCCCTCCTCCCCACCCCCTCCTCCTCCTCCTCCCCCCCCCCAACTCCCCCACCACCGTCCCCGCCCGCAGCCGACAAGGAGCTGAGCGAGTACTACGCCAAGAAGCACCACCTGGTGGAGATGGCCTCGTGCGGCACGCTGCCACTGCGCGTGCCGCACCCCGACCGGCAGCAACGCGGCGGCGGCGGCGGCGCCGGCGAGCAGCAGCAATGGGAGCAGCGCGAGCGCGAGCACTGGGAGCAGTGGGACTACCGCAAGCAGCGGCCGCCGTCGTCGGCGGCGGCGGCGGCGGCGGCGCACGTGCGCACCTACGGCTCGACGCCGACACTGGCCGACGTCGCGCTCGCGCCGTACGTCGGCGTCGGCGGCCTCGAGGCCAACGGGCAGGCCGACGGCTACCCGGGCAAGCAGCGGCTCCTTCACGACTTCCTGCAGAGGGACCCGCGGGGTTTCTCCACGCAGCCGCGCCACCAGCACCACCACTACCACCACTACGGCACGTGGCGCACCGGCTCCGAGAAGGTGGGCTACCGGCGGCAGGTTCGCCGGCGTGGTGCGGTAGGGCCGAGAGGTCGCCACGGCGGTGTGCGCCCTGCGGTGTATAGTGTATAGTAATGTATCTCTCTCCGTCTCTCTCCGCGTCCGCGCCAGGGCTTCAAGTACCACACGGACATATACGGCTCGACGCCCACTCTCAACAAGGAGCCACGGCAGATGACGCAGCGGCTGCCGCACTACCCCACGCAGGACTCGCTCGACCGGCACCACGTGGGGGGCCGCCGCACGCCGCGCGACTTTCCCGGCACGCCCGGCGGCGCTCGCCGCTCGGGGGCCGGCGGCGGCGGCGGCGGGCTGCCGCGGCCCGACGCCCGCTACGGCACGGCCTCCCGCTCCGGCATGCCGCAGACGCCGGACAGCTACGGCGGCTCGACGCCGGGACTCGGCCGCAAGCGCCTGTCCCGCCGCTCGCTCCACCGCAGCGACCACCACCTGCTCGCCGGCGACTCGTCGGAGGACTACGAGTACCCGCCGGCGCTGCCATCGCAGGGGGCGCGCCGCGGCTACTGCCACCGGCGGCGCTCGCCGGACGAGCGCGACGGCATCGGCACGCCGCCGGCGCTGCCCGCCGCGGCTTCCGCCGCGCTCCGTCATCTCGTCGGGGTCGTCCTCGGCCGCTGGGGGGAACAGCGCGACGCCGGACCGGGCGGCGGGGCGGGTGCGGCGCGGCGACCGGGACGACACGGCGACGCTGCCCTACACGCCGCGCTCCACGCCGACCGCCCACCGGCTGGCGCGCCGGCAGAGCCTCGGGGGCGGCGTCGGCGACGCGCCGGGCCTGCCGCCGCCGCGGGCGCCGCCGCCGCCGCAGGCCGAGACGCTGCGGACTTGGAACATGGCGAGCTCGACGGCCAAGCGGCAGGCATTCGCCGGGCGCCGCCACCTGACGCTGGAGCAGCTGAACTACGCGGCGGCGCAGCAGAAGCTGCAGCAGCAGCAGCAGCAGTGGCAGACGCCGCCGCACGCGGGCACCAAGAGCCGCAACGAGGTCACCGTGTGACCTCGCCGGATCGCGACCATTTTTACTCTGGCTTGCCGTGGCCGGGACAGGTCGTTTTCTTTTGTACGGAGTTTTTTCTCTCCCAACGCTGACAGGGTTCCTCCGTCGCAACGCCGCCAGCGTCCGGCCGCGAGGCGGCCACGGCCACAGCCCCGTCCCTAAATCTGCGCGGATTCTCCCGAGTCCCGGGACCGCGACCGGGGTGGCCGTCGCCCCGACCCAGGGGAGCCTCCGACGTGAAGGGGCAGGGAGGTGGGGGGCGAAGCGACGTAGGCGTCGACGTCTGCGGAACGACTTTATTTTGTCTTTCGTCTTTCCTATACCCACAGACCGACCGGCGTACTGAATGCATGAGATTACTCCGCCATCGATTCCTTCAGAAGTGGACGCTCGGACTTTCAGGTTGCGGCGCGTTCACGGGGGAACGCGCACTTTTGGGTTTTTCCTTTTTTCCTTTCCTTCCCCCGACCGTCGCGGGCGCTTGCCTACGCGTTTTACATTTCGGGGCTCGCCGCTAATGGTACGGACGTATCCCGTTAGTTACCGGGAGGAGGGGGGGTATGACGATGAGCGGCACTCCCCGTATCCCCCCCCCCCCCCGCCCCGTGGTAAACTCGAAATAATTTTAACAAACAAAAAAATGAGCGCGCCACGCCTGGTTTACTTTGGGAGAGGATGTCTCAAACAACTTCCATAGAGGCCGCGCCGATGAAGGAATCTTTAACGAAACTTCAGGGCCACAAAAAAACATAAACGGCGCTGGCCTGGACGGTTCGACAATGCGGTCGGTTCAGGCGGTGGCGGCCGATCTGTGGATCGTCGCTGGACTATCATCATTATTATTATTACGCATTGCGAGCGAGCGAGAGAGAGGGAGGGAGGGCAAGCAAATGACCAGTCTACAAACTGCCTTCAGAGTTCAAAGTTTGGGGCGCTGACCCGTGCCTGAACGCGTGCGCAATTCAATCTTGAATATGGCGAAACGGAATGCCAAGCCCAGTGGAGGGGGGGGGGGGGGGGGGGTGGAGGGGGTTTCTCGCTTTACCTACTGAACCTTAAGGTAAGCGGCTATTTAAAAACAAAAACCGAGAAAAAACCCAATTGGCTAGTTTACCTGCCTGTTTAGCCACTAGGTAATTTTGTTTGGGTTTTCCCCTTGCAGGGCCGCTTTTCTTCTTGTTTTGGCCGACGGTACAAATGCAAAAAAGCGAGCGACGTAGATTTGGGACCGACACAAGCGCCTTTGCCATGGCGGTGGTGGCTTGACTTGCCGACGCGGAGGTCAAGAGGTCGCTCGCACCCACCTACCACCGCCATCCCAACCCCCCCTCCACTGTCGAGTTCCCGACCCCCGGGTGCTTTAATGTAATTCGGTTCCCGATGGTTCGGCCTT